GGTTGTCAATTATTCAAGACCAAATTCAATTTACAAGACCATCCATCTACACATCAATTAAAATTTAAAAATAAAGGATGCCTTAAAAGCAGCTCTAAAACAATGGTAGATACAAAAAAAAATACAATACAGTTTCCAACTCATAACGTCAGCAGACTTACACAACAGGGCCTCAAATGATTTGAAATCAATCACAATGTCAATTAGCAAAGAATTGAATTACTATAAGGTTCAGAATTTATAGCAAAAGAAATACCCCTTTCAGCAATTCAAATGATAATAAAATACTTTGGTTAGTAAAAAATCGATGCGCTTTCAGAAATTATTTTTGATTTTCTCCTTCCTACACTGAATTATCAGACATTCTTTTATAACAGTGAAATGAAGTCATATATCTATTCATATAACTTAAGGCTAGTGTTTCTAAGGATTCTTAATTTTATATAGAACTGAAAATAATTCCTTTCAGAAAATCAGAAAGTGTTCAACCGTCAATTCATTTGATATCCTGAAAAATCTCTCCTCTGCATATCACCATTGCTGAAATTATCAGGAATTCCAAATATATACTGGCATGTCTTATCCCATATTACTACCAGGAGACAGTAGAAGTATTAACCCATCTATACATATTCAAAACTCGAACCTTACATGTGAAAAAACAGTAAAATTATTAGGCATTGAAATTGACTATCAGTTAAATTTTGATGTTCATATCAGCTCAATCTGTAGGAGGGCATCACAGCAATTAAACGTTTTAAAACATTTGGGCTCAGTTTTGGATAGACTTAGTAAACTTACTATTTTTCATACCTTTATTCTTATTAATTCTAATTTTTGTCCTTTGGCATGGAATTTTTGCACTGAGAAAAATTCCAAAAAATTAGAAAAGGTGCAGGAAAGAGCACTCCGTTTTGAATATGAGGATTTTACCAGCCCCTACGAGGACCTCTTACTTAAAGCTAAGGTGCCCTCCTTGCAGATTAGATGGATTAGAACAATGGCTCTAGAAACTTTTAAGATTATAAATAATATAGCTCCTGTGTGCTTACAAAATTTGGTGAGTGTCAAAAAATCTAAGTATTCTTTCAGGTATGTAAATATTCTGGATGTTCCACAGGTAAAGTCAACCCGTTACGGTAAAAAATCTTTCAAATTTGCTGCCGCTACTTTATGGAACAGCCTTTCAAACCATTTCAGGACTGAAAATAGTTTTTCACATTTTAAAAGTCTTGTTCAGTCCTGGAACGGTTTGGAATGTCCCTGTTCTGCTTGCAGATAATTCTTGAGATGTTTATTATTTATGTTGCTTTTGGTTGCTCTGGTCTAGCATGTTTTATTTTATTTTAAATTTGTTGCTAAATTTTTATTGCATGCTATGTAAGTGAGATTTAACTTCGTATAACAGGTTGTTTTATATGTCAAATTAGACTGTTTTTATGTTATGTATATGTTTTTATATTCGGTCAAAAGCTCCTTAGAGCTTGTGTTGTGTCTTTTAACTTACGCCGAATCAAAATAAAGTTTTCTTATCTTATCTTATCTTATCTTGTGGACGCCGCTGACGACTAGGACGACGACAGAATGTAGGATCACTATGTCTCGCTTTTGTGACAAAAGTTGCAGGCTCGACAAAAATTGCAAAACTAATCTACACAAAGTCTTCAAGGAAGGGCTAAACATGAAAGAAAGTATCCAGAAATTGCAATCCTAATCTATTGATATGATTCTATTTTAGGAAAATCTGTAAAAATTGGATTCCTTGAAATGACATTTATGTCTATCTATAATGGGGCAGAATAGTCAAAAATAAGAAATAAAGGCTTATATACATCGTAACTGAAACCAACAAAAGTTCCTCATTTAAGTCTAGTAAAAACAGAATTCTTACAACTTCTAGACTCAACCCAGCAGGAACTTTATCTGAGACATCAATCTTTATGTCCAACAAAAAGAAATTTCTGTGTATTTTACCAATAAAATGTTTCCATATAAAAACTCCCTATAAAGCGACTCAGATTTCTAAATTTATCAATCAGCTGGAGAAGTCAATGGTTGCCATTATCCGCAGCATCACATCAGCTGGAATTCCAACCGACTTAAATCAGCCTATAATTGGATCTCTCCTTTTTTAATGCAAGCAAAATGTGCGATAATTGATGTTTTAATTATATACCTTTTTAGCAATAGAGCTTAAAGAAAGTGTTTACTGAAAAAGTGATCCTTAAATATTATGTTTTCTGAAATAGCAATCTTTAAATATTCTGTTTTCTGAAATAGCGATTACATTAATGTAAAACGTCTAAATATAGTTCTTTCTAAAATAGTGATACCATTTTTGAATTTCTGCAGCTAAATAATCTTGCTGGGAGAGGGTAAACAATTTATTAAGAGTTTACTTTAAAAACACAGGAGCTATATATATTGTCAAACTTTTGTGTTTATTTTCAAATTACTTTTGTCTTTATGTTTATTTAAAGAAAAGATAAATACAGCTAAATATTTAACATAAAAATTTGTAAACAAAACCTCTTCTTATCTTCTAAATTAAATTTTCTGTTTATTGTTCAAACTGACAATAATCTGCTTAAACCTTATGAACTGAAAATTAGTAATAAAGAGAAAGTTCACTGGGTTTGCTTTGGTTCAACAGTATGAAATGAAATTACTTTCTTATAGAATAAATGAATTAACGGTAGTATATACAGTAGTTGAATGGTATTGGCAATATTTAAATTCTTATTGAGATTGTTGATTCCAGTTCATATTACTGTGAATTTCTTTATTTACTTGGATACCAATTTTCGTGGATTGAGGAAAATTTGTATTTTCATGGATATTTGTTTCTTGGTATTGCCAGTGTCTATATGCAAGCCTATAGAAAATTTGTGCTTTGTTGAGCATTTAAAATTGTATCCAAATTAGAGTAATAATTAATCCACAATATTATGCTATTGTGCTAAGGTTGCAATCCCCACTCTCAGGCAAAGTTGACCTTAGATGGTTTTAGCTGTTCTCTTTAGGTATTTTTCTTTTTATGAATTCAAATCTTTAAATTTTTGGCTTTTTTAACTTTGATCACAAGAGTACTTGAAAAGTTTATTCCAGAACCATGTGTAGAGCCCATAGAAAATCATACATATCATTTGGTTTTTTTAATCTGCATCCCATACTGTCACTCACTCATAATAGTAATGTAAGGTTAAGGAGGAATAAATTGCTTCGCAAAGCTCAGCTGGATATGACCGCAGAAGTCCAACCCTGAACAGTTTGGGCAAAAATGAAGGCAATATTCGCGCTTGATACAGGTCTGAATTGTAATTAAATATTTGACACATAAAAGGTTTCTGACACAGAATAACTGTAGTCAAAGAACTTAGACTTGGTTATATGATTTGAATTTATATTCACTTTTTTGCTTTTGTGCAATACACTTTCCTGTTGAGAATTGACCCCCCTACCCCTACAAAAAAAAAATAAAATTACCCCCCTTTTTTTTTTGCTTTTGTGCAATACACTATGCTGTTGCGTATTAACCCCCCCCCTCCCCCCCACACACACACACTTTAATAATATTTGAAGAATTTTCCTTTTTAATTTCTGAAATTTGAAATGAGAAAAAAATGACCCCCCAAAATTTCTCTTTCCACCCCAAAAATTCTTTCCCTCAAGATATGGTCATAATCTCAATTCAAATTTCCAATGGAGTTTGCAACCATAATTACCCATTTAAATTTACCATAGTGCTAACTTTAATCTATTTTATAATAGAATTTAAAATATGGTGTCAAATCTTTCATATGGATTTTTTTACTGGTCTAGCTTCCTTTATAAATATGCATTTCTTTAAACATAATTTAAAAGCAGTGTAAGGGAGGTAATCAAAACATTGCATTTGGATTACCTCCCTTACACTGCTTTTAAATTGTCTTTAACCATTACTTTATAGATAATTTAAAAGCAGTGTAAGGGAGGTAATTCAAATGATGTATTTGAATTACCTCCCTTACACTGCTTTGAATTATGTTTTGTACTACAGTAATTGTCCCATTAACCAGGACACCCTTGTTTTTCCCCTTTTTTGCCCCTAATTCCTAAACGGTTTGAGTCATAACCCCCCAATGGAATGTAAACTTGTGGTATAATTTCAGAGAGATCCATACACCGTTCCACAAGTTATTGTCTGGAAACTAGAAAAATGCTTATTTTTAGCCCCTAATTCATTAACTGTTGGTACCATAACCCCAAAAATCAATCCCAACCTTCCTTTTGTGGTATCTAACCTTAAGGTAAAATTTCACAGAGATCCATTCACTTAAACTAAAGTTACTGTGTGAAAACCAATGTGTCTTTGGACGAGGACTACGACAACGACGATGACGCCAACGTCATACCAATATACGACCGCAAACTATAAAAAGGATTAGCAGGGGCCCAGTAGCCAATACTACTAAAATTTGGGTTGGGCCCCTAAAATTTTTATTAAAATGCCCATAGTGCTTATGTTAATTTTCACATTGTGGCAGGTTGGGCCCCTAGTTGGAAATGTTAGTCTTATTCCCTGATTTTAAATCTAAATTAAAATAATAAATAAGGATAACAGTTTCTAGGTTAAACAAAAGCAATGTTGCCTTTAAATAGCCTGCAACTGTTTTCTTATATCTTTTGCTTATAAATATTACACAGTTGTTTGTGATGCATAAATACATGTAGTAGCCAATAAAATGTGAGCAGACAGTCAACAGTCCTTTGGTGCGACATAAATAGCCAATCAAATACAAACTGGCAGCTAACAAATAACAGCTGGTCAAACGGTCTTAAAACTGTTGAAGGTCCAATTTGAGAAAAAAAAAATCTGCTAATGCAGATTTTCTATTAATCTTGATAACTAATTCTGAGATTTTCATCAATAATTCTAACCATATGATCATTTTATACAGGCATTAAGCAAACTACAATCAATCAATCCTCTATTTAACAGACACAATTTTGATACTTACATTATCGGTGTATGGCTGGCAAACAGTCAGAGAAATTTTGTCTTTACAGGATCTACAAAGACAAATAACAATTCAATTATTAAAGGCAAAGACAAAGTTAAAGACATGATTGCTGCTGTATTTATGTATATATAAATAAGATGCGGTATGAGTGCCAATGAGACAACTATCCATCCAAGTCACAATGTATGAAAAGTTAACAATTATAGGTCAAAGTACAGCCTTCAACACGGAGCCTTGGCTCACACTGAACAGCAAGCTATAAAGGGCCCCAAAATGACTAGTGTAAAACAATTCAAACAGGAAAACCAACGGTCTAATCTATATAAAAAAACAAGAAACAAGAAACACTTAAGAACCACACCAACAAACAACCACTGAACATCAGGATCCTGTCTTAAGACAGGTGCATACAAATGCAGCATGTTTAAACGTTTTCAGAGGCACCAACCTTCACCCTAACCTGAAACAGTAGTGAAAAATTACAACATAAAAAGACACACTATAAAATATCAATTGAAATGGCTTAACTCGATCAAAAAGACATATAAACAAAAACAGGTAAACATACACTGAACGAATACCCTACATCATTTATTAATAAATCCTTTGCGTTTCTAGAAACTCATAAAAAAATATGAATTTATACAAAAAGATGATTTAACCTGATAATTTTTCACATCATTATACTCAAAACTTTTTAACATTTGCTGGTCTAGGAAATGAAATTTATGCAATTTTCTATCACTGTTTTGCATTGACTGTATGAACTAATTTTTTACTGATATTTTAAGATGGTCATTTCATATATCTCTTTAAAGGAAACTACAATGCATACAAATGGAGAAGGTATGTTATGGCCACTTTATATTACCCTATGCATTTATCAGTAGCACTGACGTAATTTTGAAAATAATTTGAGGATTGGACTATTTTTGCAATCTATGATATATTTTGAGACTTATAAAATATCATGTGCTTCAGTCAAGGTACAATTGAAATTCTGATAACAAAAGAACCTGCATCATATCCTCAACTGACAGTCAAAATGAAATACATTTTTTAACAGTAAACAATTTATAAATGCCAAAATTAAGGTAAATTAAACCAAAAAAAAGTAAAATTGTTTAAAAACTTAATTTAACTTACTGCTTTTGTTTCTTGTAAAACATGTTCTCCGCCATAAACATTTTTGAGACTTTGCAACTTTACATCCACGATTGATAACAAATTCACCCTTAGTAAGTTTTTCATTAAAAGTTATCAAGGTGTATAATGAACAGTGTTAAAAATTTATTGGTCAGAAGGATCAATTTCACAACTAACTCCATACCCTAATTGCAAAAATGTGACAAACCTATCAAAAATTAATTATCTACATTAATTCAATACACTTGTTTGCAAAGCCAACTTCTTACGTCCCAGTAGGAAGCCAATTTTCTATGCATCAACTCAATTACATTGGAGGTAAATTAAAAAAGTTGCTTAATCAAATTGACAAAACTAAAATGTCGAAAAAACTAATTTGCCGTTTTTTTTCTTCAATATATATATTCACCAAATATAGAGAAATTATGTAGTTCTGGTTATTTTGGAATATTAGATAAAATATTTATGAAATTGTTCGCATTCTTCCAAAGTTCATGACAGTATTGGATTAAAGCGCTATAGCTATGAGCAATTGATAAAACTATCGGTGTGTCAAAGTTGAGAGATTTGACGTCAAGTTGATTGCCTGTTGGGAAATTTCATAAAGTCAGTGGTATCTATAACAAAATTTTATACCACTTTCAAAATGAGACAAAATAAAGTTCATATTTTTATCAAAATATTTTTTAATATACTATTTTTTTTTTTATAGTTTGCAGACAGCCATGAGACATGTGTATTAGTCATTCAAAATAGAAATTATGCAATTTTAATCATATTTGTCTTTTTCTCAAATCTCCTGACCTCAAAATATTTAGTATTACTTACTATTAAGTATAATCATATAGAAACTGATGGAAGTTTTTTTATCACATCTTACAATGCCAATATATGTAACTTCTTATTTAAAAATGCAATCATGCCGAAATTGGGGAACATACACCAACACATAAAAATCAAGTTTTCTCTCAGAATTTTTTTATAAAGCAGCTAACAGACATTTCGAGCAATTGGGATATAATTCACTAAAACCAGAAGACAAATGAAATTGGTAAATTGCTTTTACCAAAAACATTTAAAGTTAAGCGCTTATGAATGAAATTAATTACATATACAGATGACAACCTCGCTCGTTAACTATTCATGAACTCCGCTGGTTAATCGGAAACGAACTGTGAATGGAGTAATGAATAATTTCATTTTAACAATTGACGTCTTTAACCTTAATCAAGACTCATTTATCTGGATGTACTGGAACGCACACTGAACCAGTTTCTGAATAGTGTCATTATGAATACATAAAGAATTCATTTTAATTTATAATTTGCTTTTGGTCATGGCAAATGTGAACATTTATACCTTACTATAAAGATAATAATAAAATTGAGAATGGAAATGGGGAATGTGTCAAAGAGACAACAACCCGACCACAGAACAGACAACAGCAGAAGTATACTTCATGATATTTGTTCTTTTTTCTACATATATCATGTTGTATTACACTAATATTTTTTTATGATTATAATTAATTCATTTTTGCTTAAGTTACCACACTTTGTTCACTGTTTAAGTTTATCATAGTGAACTTGTTTTGAGCATGAAGCTCCTTTCTGCCACTTAAAATCTCAAATTTAAAAAAACAAAACAAGAATGTGTCCAAAGTACATGGATGCCCCACTCAAACTATCATTTTCTATGTTCAGTGGACTGTGAAATTGGAGTCAAAACTCTAATTTGGCATTAAAATTAGAAAGATCGTATCATAGGGAACATGTGTACTAAGTTTCAAGTTGATTAGACTTCAACTTCATCAAAAACTACCTTGACCAAAAACTTTAACCTGAAGCGGGACAGACGAATGGACCAACAGTCCAGAAAACATAATGCCCCTCCTACTTTCGTAGGTGGTTTGGTAGGTGGGACATAAAAAATGAAATACTTATAAATTTCATGCATCAGAAGCGCTTTTCTGGATTTACTTCCATCAGGAACACTCAAAGCCAAATAATTGAAAGCCAAGGATGTAAAAGAACTGTTAAAGACCTATATACTTTTAAAAAAAAAAATTGTCAACACAGACAACCCCCACACTTTATACCTAGTCTCCCTCCCGGTCCTTCCACGACTTCATTGCAGGTGAGAAAAAATACCACGAATGGTTAAGAGTTACTTTAGATCATATTTTATTTGTTCTGCTTTTAGCTGCTTTATTTCTCACTTTGGTTTGTACAAACTAGAGGCTCTCAAGAGCCTGTGTCACTCACCTGTATTTACTGATGCTTTGGAAATCATGTAAAATAAGGTTAAAATCATAATTAATAGTATTAGATATTAGATATTATAATGATATCTAAGATAATAGCAAAAAACAGCAAAATTTCTGTAAAATTACTAACTCAGGGGCAGCAACCCAACAACAGGTTGTCGGATTCGTCTGAAAATTTCAGGACAGATAAATCTAAATCTGATAATCATTTTTGCCACCTGTCAGATTTGCTCTAAATGCTTTAGTTTCAGAGATATAAACCAAAAACTGCATTTTACCCCCATGTTCTATTTTTAACCAAGTCGGCCATGATGGTTGTATGGCGGAGTCATCGGATAAATTTTTTAAACTAAATACCCTAATAATGATTATGGCCAAGTATGGTTAAATTTGTCTACGTAGTTTCAGAGAAGAAGATTTTTGTAGAAGATTACAAAAATTTACGAAAAATTGTTAAAAATTGACTATAAAGGGCAATAACTCCTAAAGAGGTCGACTGACAATTTTGGTCATGGAGACTTATTTGTAGATCTTACTTTGCTGAACATTATTGCTGTTTACAGTTTATCTCTATCTATAATAATATTCAAGATAATAACCAAAAACTGCAAAATTTCCTTAAAATTACCAATTCAGGGGCAGCAACCCAACAACAGGTTGTCAGATTTGTCTGAAAATTTCAGGGCAGATAGATCTTGACCTGATAATCAGTTTTACCCATTAACAGATTTACTCTAAATGCTTTGGTTTCAGAGATATAAGCCAAAATCTACATTTTACCCCTATGTTCTATTTTTAGCCATGGCGGTCATCTTGGTTGGTTGGCGGGGTCATCGGACACATTTTTAAAACTAAATACCTTAATGATGACTGTGGCCAAGTTAGGTTAAATATGGCCCAGTGGTTTCAGAGGAGAAGATTTTTGTAAAAAGCTAACGACGACGACGACGAAGACGGACGACGGACGCCAAGTGATGAGAAAAGCTCACTTGGCCCTTTGGGCCAGGTGAGCTAAAAATGTAAATGCATGTACTGTAGTAGTTTTGGTCACTTAAGGCTAGCAGCCATTAAACTTACCGAACACAGTCAATAACATATTCCCTTGGAGCTTTCTTTACATCTTCCCCATTGATTCTGATGATCTGGTCCCCTGGTAACAGTTTGTCAATACTTGGTCCACCTAAAATGTTACCAATAAAATTTGTCCACTGTATTGAATTTCCACTATATAGATATGTTTCAAGCTACTGCTAGAAGGGGAAGCATTTAAAAAAGGGGGCAAGTTTTTTAAATGCAAAGCTGTTCAACTTCAATAAATTGAATTTTAGGTTTGATAACAAATCAAAGCATCCTCTGTAAAGTACACAAACAAAATTTAATATTACCTGCTTTAATCTTATATTTTCTAATCAATAAAAATACTTTAATTCAATGATGGCCTATAGTTGCCCTAGTACATCCAATTCATTTGAATTCTGGTGGATAGTTGTCCCATTGGTAATCATACCACATCTCCTTAATTCTATATTTAGCACAATGAAACATTACAGGTTTTCAGATCTGACATTAATAATTATTGCACCTACTAATTCTGAATAAATTTACCATCAGTAACAAATCTGACTACAACTGGCCTTTCACTCCCTGCAACAAAACCAAATCCTTTCAATGGATCTCGATCTAATTCTACCTCCCGAGGTTTGGGTGGCTCTACGTAATCTGGGTCATCTCTCGGGTCGTCCCGTGTTGTGTACTTGTCAAGATGACTGAAATACATTAAAACCAAAAATAGAGATTTCTTGCTTAAGATTCTAATATGAAGCTCTTCTTTCACTTTGTGGACAAAGCCATGTTCTAATAAATATGGAAATTGCAACGTCAGTTTTATTTTGAACAACTCTGGAGATCAAAATTGACATTTTTGTTGGTGTTGCTAGCATTGAAATTTAATAAAAAATTTTCAAAGTAAGTTTGCCAGTTTCAATCATTTTCAATTGTGAATCAGTTGGTTTTTCTAGAACGTTTGTGTTTCATCAAATCAAAATGGCTGACTTTCTTAATTAATCTTCTTATTCATGCTTAAAGATTTCTTACTGCAAATTAATATAAATGTCTCTAAATAACAACTTCATAAACATCATATATGTTTTACTACATTTGAAGCAAGATTTCTATGCATTATATAGCAATAAATCCTTAGAGATTTATGACAGGCTTTTGTATGTGTTTATAAAGGAGCCTAGCTGTCTCAGACATGGTGAATTTCCTGTATTAATAGTATTAGATGAAAGTTTTTAACCTTTCTTATAGCAACGAGTCTCATGCATAAGATTTATGGCAATGCCTGGAGTGCAAACTAGTCATTGCTCTTTAAATCCTCATCCTTTGCAAAACCTATCCTAGTTATTGCAATTTTCACAATAATCAGAACTTTGCAAAAATCTATAGATCTACAGTACCTCACAATTTCTTTATAGCTCTTGATAAAAATAAACGTGGATTTCAGAAGATTGTAAGAATCTTTATAGACAATACAAATCGGCATTAAATAATTTGAATGCAAACCATTCTAATGACAACAGAATAAGACTAAATTTAGCTAAACAGAAATATAAATGTATAGAGATGAAACTTAAACGACACTACAAAAACCAACAAGGTGATATTGCTGATAAATTTGCGAAGAAAACTCCAAAAGTTCAGAAGACAGAAGACTGAAAACGCACACAAAATAACATTGGAAAAATTTCAGGAACATTTGAAAAACTTAATGTCAAAGAACATGCAAATGGACAAGGAAACGAATACAGAAACTTGACCAAATGTACTTAAAGAACGAGACATTCCATTTACCGGTACAGAAACTGAACTAGAAAAATGCATAAGACGATTGAAATCGTATCTCGCAACTGCTTAGTTAGAAAACAGAATTTGATTGCACAAAACTTCAAAAACTAATTTTAAAAGACATTTAATTTCAAGGGTTAATTAAAACTGTTGTTTTTGTTTATGATTTAATTCTTGCCTACTTCAAACTATGTAAACAGCTAACTTGTGTTGGTTCAATTTAGTACTCAGCAGTAAGCACATGTAAAGTTCATGCTGTATGAAAATTTTCCACCGAAATCTGTTATTGTGTTCTCTGAATAAACAAATATCTGATAGAATCTATAGCTATTCTCAAAACAGAATGAAATTTCTATAAGCAGCTTTGGAATATCAAGTAAAAATGTATTTATCCATTTCTGGATGAAGCAAGGAAATGATTTAATCTATTTTTGTTGTAAGTGCTGAATGTTATTTCCATAAGCAGCTTATGGAAAACAGAAAACTGAGTTCATCCCTTCCTGGGAACAACAAAAAAACACTGCAATTCTTCCTAAAAAACAATTAATCTTGCTTTGCTCTGCTGTTTTTATCTTGTTTTATTAGTTTTTTGATGTTGTCAACAGAATTAGTTTAGTTTAATGAAATTCCTTGTGTTATTGGTAAATATTTACGCTGGAATAGTTCAGATCTTTCCTGATGATTTTATGATTTTTCCGCATTGTTGTTCATGATTATCATACGTAAGGCCAGATTAAAAATAAAAAATTTCTCTAACCTAATTAGCGTAACTATCCCTAATATAATCAGCAATAAAAAATCTGAACATAACAGGGCAAAAATTTCTCTAAGATGTGCCAACCAAATGTATCTTATGGCACCAACAGATACACATAATGTACCTTTTTGCCTTTGTCAGAAATTGCCAGTGACAAATAAAAAAATATTTGATTTCCTTTTGTTGAGCGTGTGAGACCCTAATGGGAAATCAAGGTTGTTAATTGCCCTGTAGTAAGTAGACTTCTTTTTGACAGAGTATTTTGAATAGTTGGCAGGATCAAGTCAGTAAAAAATTGTCTAGCTCTCTAGATATTCATCAAAATTTACTCATTAACAGACAGCTAGCTAGTTGTTATCTTTTTAAAAATGAGACGATTCACAAAAATTCTGAATAGACCTTTAGAAAAAAAATCTGAATGAAGTACGTTATTTGATCTTCCACTGGTCCCAAGTCAGAGTTATAAATACTAGAAACAATATATGCAGCATTTTATTTTTTCAGGTTTTGTATCTATAGATATATTTTCTATTGAATATACCGGTAGTTAGTTATTGGCTTATCTCCCCTGTTTATTAATTCCTAGTGCATTCTATGCAATTAATTTGTCAAGATGCCAGTGATTTGAATTTGGTTGAATATGAATTACACATTAATTTTTTTATTTCATTTCCAACTGCTGTCAATTAATTCAATAAAGCAAATTAGCATTAATTCGATCTTAATGATTAACCTAACTACAAGCTGTCAGATATAGTCTTATTAACCCGTGAAAACTATACATAATAAAAATAATGTCATTTATGAAGAAGTAAATACAAAATAAATGGAGAAATTGTGTCCATGGAACACAGATGATTTCCACCACTTGCATATAATGTTATAAAGGGGCATAACACAAGAATGGTATAAATGAAGCTACCCAAATTTGTACTTGATCTGAGTTTGGTGGTAATAAGCATTGTGTATAAGTTTCATAACATTTGGTTGAGGCAAACTAAAGTTAGAGAAGGGAAACCAATTTCTGAACGTACATACAGACGGACAAGCCCAACACTCAATGCCCTCTCCGGTGACGGCAGGGCATAAAAATCATCTGTAACAGTAAGAATACTATTCAGCAAAAGAAAAAAGAGACAATAAAACAAAATGGATTACTTTAAAACAAAACCTTTTTTATATACAATTGCACGACACTTAACGATCTATTAGCATGAAAAAAACATAGCTAAGTTAATTCCAATAAAGATGGAATTTTCCTACAGGGAAATTGTATCTTACTTTCATTATAAATTACTTGAAATGGACTATCAATTATGTTAACATATAGTTGTGGAAATTCAATTAGGATGCAATGACAGCATCTTCTATAAACCATGATGTTTGGCTTGAGAAATTATATCATTAACAATGGAGTTTTTGGTGAGTGGCTATTTTATCTGACTATAAGATCTATTACAAATTTAAAAGTTCCCAACAAGAAGGTGCAGCTAAATGGTCTAGAATAAAAGTAAGGAAATTGTTTCACACTTTATACATTGTTTTTATCAGATATTAATACAATATTACAGGTTCATTAAATAGACATTTCGAATTCCTTGCTTATGTCAACAAAATGACATATCCTTAAAATTGCTTACAAACAAAATGACACAACCTTTTTGTATATAAATGACTGATACTTGCAAAAAAGCAAGAATGGGGACAAAATCACAACAAGAGTGCGCACGCTGAAATGTCGCCTGTTTTACTTATCATTGATTTCATGTTGAAAGTCTGTAATATGAAGGTTTTAATACAAGTATCACATAAACTTAACCTTGTCAATATTCTATGAAAATGAGGTCACAGTCTGATGAACTATGTCAGACAGACATATAGTCATTTACACCTTACAATAATTCCATACATGAAATATAGTGGTCCTATTGCTAATAGTACCTGAGAAACAGATCAAACCACAAAATCTTAACAATTACCAATGAACCATGAAAATAAGGAAAAGGTCATATGAACCCTGCCAGACAGACATGTACACCTTACAATCATTCCATACACCAAATATAGTGTGTAGTATCTTAGGTATGGATTTGACCACAAAAACTTAACTTTGTTCATTGATCCATAAAATAAGGTCATGGTCAAGGTCAAATTAACTGTCTGACAGGTCTGAGGACCTTGCAAGGTACGCACATACCAAATATAGTTATCCTTTTACTCATAATAAGAGAAAAAATTAACATTACAAAAACTCACTTTCTTAACTTTTTTTTCAAGTAGTCACTGAACCATGAAAATGAGATCAAGGGCAATGATCCAGGACATATGACAGATGAAAACTTCATAATATAAGGCATCTATATACAAAGTATGAAGCATCCAGGTCTTCTTCCTTCCGAAATATTAAAGTTTTAAGTAGTTAGTTCAAGCCACAGCCACCACCGGATCACTATCCTTATGTCTCGCTTTCTGAGACTTCTGTAGCAGGCTCATTTGTTTGCACACTGTCCTAAGTCAGGAATCTGATGTTCAGTAGTTGTCGTTTGCTGATGTGGTTCATAAGTGTTTCTCGTTTCTCGTTTTTTATATATATTAGACCGTTGGTTTTCCTGTTTGAATGATTTTACACTAGTAATTTTTGGGGCCCTTTATAGCTTACTGTTTCAGTGTGAGCCAAGGCTCCGTGTTGAAGACCGTACTTTGACCTATAATGGTTTACTTTTATATATTTTGACTTGGATGGAGAGTTGTCTCATTGGCACTCATACCACATCTTCATATATCTATCAACAAAAAATCACCAACATCACAGATTTTGAACTGAACCATCTTGTGTGTACTGCAGATTCTATATAGAATACTTACTTGATGAAGTATGGTTTGTTATTCTTGTCCACAGCACATTCCCACCCATGAGGTAGTCCCAAACTACCAGGGTCCCAGCTCTCTGTAGGAGGTACCCACGAGGAGGTTTTCCCTATATGACTAAAAATAGAAAATAAATAAAACATTAATTTAGAAGTCATAAGAATGGTATCTCACTTAAGGATAATAATAACTTGTCCATAACTTGACAGTAAATTGAAATACAGTGTTGATTCATTTATTTTAGTGGTTATCAATTTTTATGGATTGAGAAAAAATTTATTTTCATGGAAACTTAATTTCGTGGTATTGCCAAAGTCTGCATACAAGCCAAATTAGCAAATTATACATCGTTGATCATTCAAATTCGTGGTTCTCCTTTACCTATGAAATCCACAAAAATTAATATCATACTAATAATATTTAATCCACAGTACATGAAGAAACAAAATAGGAGAATTACTAGTTGAACCAAGAATCACCAAACTGTGCCTACCAGTACTATAAATTTGTTGTAGGTGTTTTGGGAATTTCTTTTTAACAGTTAACATCATAATAAACTTGTGTCTTAAGTTTTAGGTTGTGACCACAACATCATGATAAACTAGTTACTACCCTATGACCAAAAGGGTAAAACAAGGAATTATGTGAATCTGGAATAATTTTGAATTCCGGAAAATTGATGAGAAATGTAGGATGAAAACTAACCCAACTAAATAGGGTTATGATGCACGTTATGGATAAGGTTAATCTTACTTTCACTGATATTTCAGTATGAACTAACTAACCCCCCTATTTAGTTGGATTAGTTTTTATGATACATTTCTCATCAATTTTCCAGAATTAAAACTCATTCCAGATTCAAATTATTCCTTGTTTTGTAGAACAGATGATCATGAATGGATAAATGGACACTGATGAACACATATACAGACCAGAAAACAGTAATGATAATGCCCCCTTCGATCAAAGATGGGGCATAAAAAGAAATAGCTTGTATATATGGACACTGATTTTTAACTTGAAGTGATTGTGAATTGTTATTCCTTTCTTAGGTGGTTCACCTTCTCTGTGAGTCATCGTTTCAATAATATACAGTTTTACTCAACCTTTTTTTTCATATCAAATGAAAATACTTCTTTCAGTTTTTCCAAATCAAATTTTTTTAACAGACAAATTTTATGAAATTGAACTCTTTACAAAAATAAACCTTTTAGTGATTAGAAAATACATCATTTGGTAATATTTTAATAGAATCTGTCAGAAAAATCTAAGACATAAATTGATCGTGAAAGCAAATCTACATGTATCAATTTCTGTCAGTTTTATTTCAATATAATTTAATATTGGCAATTTCATGTTGCATTTTAACAAAAATATGATACTGCATATACTAGCTGTAAAACTCTGATGCAATTATAAATGGTATATAAATAAAATGCACCCCTCCAAGAAGGAAAGCAATCATTGGAATACATCGTAAAATATCTTTGTTATCTCTTAATGTTTTTTGACATTTGGGGAATTTATTGTTGATGGCTGAACATTGATAGTGTCTGTGAAAATTTATTCCAAACCTCAGTATGGTCTACAGTTTGACATATTGAAAACTCCAACATGGTCAAATCCGACTGGCAACCTTGAGGATTTGATGGATGAACTTGCGACCTCATGTCTCATTTAAAAGGACCTGTGACCTTTACAGATGTTCAAAACTGCTTTATTCAAATGTGTGACATGGTGACCTGAGGCAACATTTTAAATGTAGCCTTGTAACCAATAAGGGATACCCTACTGAAATCACTAATATTGACTGTTAGATGTCTTTTTGGGTAGCTGTCTCATCGATATATACACCACATATCCTTTTATTCGTATGTTCAAGTCTTTTCTACAAATTTGATACAACAAGGGTTAAAAATACATCCAAGATCTAGCATTTGAAGTGACGTCTGCTTAATTATACTTATTATATAAAAGTATTAAACTGTTATCTAGTGTCAGTCAGCTTTTTTTGAAAAGATAACTCTTAAATCTTAAACTCTCAAAATTTAAATTAGAATTTATTCATCTCATATCTTTCAATCTTAAAAATAGATTTGATCTTCCAAGTCTACGTATATCTTACAATCATATGTATATGTCTGTAAATGCAAATAAAAAGCGCCACACCAAAATAAATCTGTCCAATAATAGGAAGTCATTTAATGCTTCTGTAGGAGGATATCTCTATAATCAAACTAATGATATTAGATGGCCGATGATGGACCTCAAGGATGACAGAGATCAAGCTATTGATCTTGATCCCAATACAAATGTAGTGACCGCTGACAATCTAATATTACAGAGAATTTGACAGAAACTGTCAAATGTACATGTAGCTTCATGATTGTGTCCAAGTTACTTGACCGAAGGAAGAAAATTGATTTTAAAGAAATTCAATATTGTTCAAACTTCTTCACTCAAGTTCAATGTTTGTTAAAGTTTTAAATGAACTTGTATAAAACAAGAGTGCACACGCTGAAATGTCTCGCCTGCTTTACTGACCATTGATTTTATGTTGATAGTCTTAAATATAAAACTTTACTACAAGTATCAAATAAACTTAACATGATCCAAGAAAATGAGGTCAAGGTCAGATAAACCAAACCGGAAATACATGTACACCTTTCAATCATTCCATATACCAAATATAATTGACCTATTGCTTAAAGTTTCTCAGAAACCAACTTAACCAGGAAAACTTAACATTGACCAATGAATTATGAAAATGAGGTCAAGGTCAGATGACACCTGCCAGTTGGACATGTACACCTTACAATCATTCCATACACCAAATATAATAGACCTATTGCTAATAGTATCTGAGATATGGACTTGACCATGAATAAATTAACCTTGTTCACTGATCCATGAAATGAGGTTGAGGTCAGATGAAAACTGTCTGACAGGCATGAGGACCTTGCAAGGTACGCACATACTAAATATAGTTATCCTATTACTCATAATAAGAGAGAAATTAACATTACGAAAAATCTTAACTTTTTTTTAAGTAGTCACTGAACCATGAAAATAAGGTTAAGGACAATGGACATATGACAGATAGAAACTTTATAACATAAGGCATCTATATACAAAGTATGAAGCATCCAGGTCTTCCACTTTCTAAAATATATAGCTTTTAAGTAGTCAGTTAATGCTGCAGCGGGCGCCGGATCAGTATCCCTATGTCGAGCTTTCTGCGACAGAAGTTGCAGGCGCGACAAAAAACAACATATATATAGTAAAACTTTTAAAAGGATGTTTATTTAATACATTTCTATGAACCTAATTCCAAAATGTTAGATACATTCATATCTTTAGAATTTAGGGAACTGAAGCTGCAATGTACTACTGTGACTATAAAAATTTAAAAAGTCTTGTTTGAACTTTGAATTGTTTAGATTTTAAAGGGTCTAGTATACTAATAAAGGAACTATTTTTAGTAAAAAAAAAAAACAAAAAAACTTCTAAATCATGCAAGATGGACAATTATAACAAATTTCCTGTGGAATCATATTTCTAAATGAACTAGAAAAAAATCATAGCCTTGTAAAATGCATTTAAATGGACAGTGAAAGGTTTGTGTATATGGAACAATGTTTTTTCTGGCAGAATAACTTTTGTCTATATACCCTGACTTCTTCCTTTAAAACTTAGACCTGTAACGGGCTGTAAGCCTAAAAAAAATTACAATGTTTAGACAAAATTTTTAAGGAGTGCATATACACTTGATTCTTGTATTCAATTAGAAATCATTCTCTCTTGTCTGTTACTTATAAAAACAACTGCTATAATCCATAAAAGCATTCTAAAAATTATCGTAATTCTCTTTTACAAAGGATTTCTAAAAAAAAAGCTTTAAGGAAGAGAAGAAGTCTAAGAGTTATGTAAGACACTAATTAGTGCTATGCATAAACAATATTTAATCTTTCAAGTCGGTTACCTGAAATCATAAATATATTGAAATAACGAGAATTTTATTACTTTCATATGCTAGAAATTTTATTTTTTGCATAATTTTACTCTGAACTGTATACTTCAATGACATATAAAATATGTATTTTATTATACCAACAGGTTTTCTAGTTTAATATCGTTCTACATCTGTATTTAAAGATAATATTCATATAATAATTCAAAACTAACATGTATAACTTTGTATTATTTCAGTATCAAATGCTTTTGAATGCATGAAAAGATTCTTTGTTTATTGGGATGTTTAATGCCATTTTCAGCGACCTTTGCTATGTCAGGGCTGCAAGTTTTTGTAAGTGGATGAAGCTGAGAGTACCCGGAGACCTTTAGTAACAAGACTGGTAATCCTCGTCAATAAAGATTGGAGTCGTTGTCATGAACAGGGTTCAAATTCACAAACCAGAGTTCAGACAGGCTAGTGATCACAGTTTTTGTAGATGAAGAAATAAAATTTTTCCACAATCCTTAGAAAAATTGGTACCCAAATCCATCAACAGCATTCACCATTTTACATTTGCCTCCATTTATCAATAAAATTGATTGTGGACTTCTGTCTTAGAGAATATGATGGGTTTCACTATCAGTAGAGTTCAATTATAATGTGAATTGTTACAAAAATTTTAATCAAATATTACAAATATTAGTCAATTGATGTTTTACATGTATGTGATTTAACCTACAATGAATTAACCAACTCAACTTGCTATGTTGACCATAAAATGAATTGCTTTGGCTCTTCAGTTTTGGGTCAAATCTTATTTTACTGCACCCATTGCATTTATGTAACTTTATTTTTGGTTTTTAAAACTATAAGAAATCAACAGAACCAGTATTCAATATTATCTTTAGATTTTCTTTTCTATAATGATCCGATGAATAATGGTTCTGTTAATCTCTTATTGTTTTAAAAGCCAAAAAAAGTTAAGTTTTACATAATATAACAAACCTATTCTTTGTATTAAAAATATGTAAATTTCTTTAAATTTTTGTTATCAACATGATTACATTTATTTTTTTTTTCCAAAATATTTTTAAGATCAGATTGTGTTTCATAAAAAAAAAAAATTAACAAGAACAATTGGCACATTCCAAACTTATATTTT